GTCGCGTTTTTTTATCATGTCCGTGGCTTTGGCTACGGCATTGGCTTTATGCCCTTTTTATCGGTGTCTTCAGCTTCGAATTCGTGCCTCTTCAGTTAGCTTGGTGGTTGACTTCGGTTTCGAACCCCATATAAGTTGTCTTTAGCTTTGACATCGTCACTTTTTCAAGGCACTTATGAGGAGCCTCCACAAAATCACATCTGTCCTGTTATCCCCATACATCATACATTTTAAGCCCTGCCCTGATGGAAGGAGGGGGTCGACGCCAACCCCCTTGGAATTTTCTGGGGTAACTCTCTGGCACGCCGCGCAATCACGCCCAATTTTTGAGTAACGTGTGGGGCATCCATTGCGGGTACTTTGACACCCAAAACGTATCCCTAGCATTCCCGGTTTGAGAGCAGCTGCGGTTTTTGAGGGACACTGCAGTGATGAAGGGCCGGCGCGGGTGGCGGGCGGCCGGCGACGGTTCTGCGGGCCGCTCACCGCGAGCCGACATTGCTACATTAACAGAGCTGTACATCATAAATAAAAACCAATACAACACTAACGGCTTCATCTTCTTAGATTCAAACTCCAAAGCCATTGATTTCAGTTTCAGATTTCACCTTCATGTCAATGCCTTAGCTCTGAAGAATTCGTTAGTAAACCAATGGGCTATACACCAACTCAAAGCTTTCTCAACCCCACCTTTCCACTATGAATGCTGGCCACTCAGTTCAGTTTGTCCTATCACATGTGTCAGCTCCTCTCCATTGAACAGGTAAGCACATGACATATACTTACCTCTTTAAAAGTCACAACAATGCAACACATGATATCATCAAAATGGCAGCACACTTCTAGAGTACACATGGAAACCATACAATTTTTGCACATGGAACTTACCAGCAAGATGACACCTTTGAGGATCAGGCTTGAGTCGAGCCCAATGCGAAGGATGGCATCTGTTAATTTGTCAAACTTCTCGGGAGTGAGTTTGTTGAGGATGCCGCGAACCTGTGGAGCATCATGTGTCATGACATGGTGACAGAACTGCAATCAGCCATTATTACAATGCCCCTGGCCAAGCATGACATGTGAAATCCTGAGAGGGCTCCTTTCTGTCTGCAGGCAGCGCATAACAGTGCTAACACCACTGAAATTTCTACCAAAATATACAAATGGGATCTACAAATTTGAGTGGCTACCTTGCTACTATTTTCTCACCCTGACATGGTAAAACAAATTTTAGTTAGCCTCTTCAAAAAAACATTGGATTGCCAAAACCCCAAACATCACTAAATGCCACACATAGGTACAGACAACCTGCATAAGACAGGTAAAGTTAACCAAAAATATAAAACCAGACATATGTAATGCTAACTGCATGACTCTGAGCCATTATTGCCAGTGACATAGCCTGCACCCATCCCTCACATAACCATGTGTTGCTCTCAGTGCAGCACAAGAAGCCACGACTGACATGGCTCATATGCCAGGGCAGTCTTATCAATAACTGGGCAGATTGTGAAAACACAAACAAAATAAACAAAGATTTTACAATCCACAGGATCATCACAGGCATGCCTACAACATTCTGCAAAGCTGGCTTACCTTCCGGAAAATAGGATCGTGGTCTTGGGGAAATGCATCTCGTTTAAGCACAGAAGGTGGCACCCATCGGTTAAAAGGGTTGTTTGAGGAACTGGAATTGTCCCTGAAAAAGAACAGCAGTGTTAATTTGGATCAGCACACACCGGTTCTAAGCTGCAACATAATATCCTGCAGCATATCACAAAATTAGGTCTTAATCTCATTCATCTAGCTCTGTAAACAAAATAGGCATCTCACTGCACTGATGGTTCCACACAAAACAATACAAGCTGACACAATCTTGACAAAGCCAGACACTATGTGCCTATCTCTCTTTCTACACTGAACCATCTCATTTCAAGCCCACTTTGGGTACAAGTAAGATGCCACATCACCTAACAAAGTACTTCAAAGATACATACCTCCCTCCCGAACCACGAGAAGCACTCCCGACTTCCCTGTCCAGTTCCGTTGTGGGTGGAATCTTGTTGCTGTATGAAACTTTAGGCTTAAAATTTAATATGGTTGATGGAGGGCCTGTAAAAAGAATACCACCCATTATACTTTCAATAACAAAAAGTGATGCACAGTCATAACAAAGAGCAGGCAAGATTGATGCAGACAGCTCAAGTTTGCAAGTTATTTTCATACCTTATACACAATATAAAAATACCTATGTACTATTGGCATATTTCCATACCTTATACACAACATAACAATATCTATGCACTATTTGTATACAATGAACAGCATATCTCATGAAATGAAGCATGAAATAGCAAAGCACTGGTATCATGAAGTGTGATAATGTGCATGTGATGTGAGGTCAATATACCAATACACTTACAATCAGGAAAGCACCAAGCACATAAAGGCTATCAACATGCACTTAACTGTGAATAAAATGTGTGGAATTACACAGTCCTTTGACACCAATCCAAGCATGACATTTGATTGGCTGCATGCCCGCACAGCTGTCATTTTCCAAAGAATGATTAATGGTTGAAGGCTCAATTTGTAAATTCTTGCACACAACAGTGACATTTACAGAACAAGTACACAGAAAATTCAACTTTATCTGCTATTATATCTCCTTAATCAGCTTTTTAAAACAGCATGCTTGTTGAAACTTTATTCTGATCTCACTAGCTCTCTTGTAGCTTAAATGCTCATAGCCATGGGGAAAACAAGTCTTAGTGTCATAACAGATTCTGTCAAGCTGGAGCAGTAGGGAAGAATACAAAGAAAGGGAGAACAGCATGGTTTGGTTATAAAAGGTATAACACATCACTTTCAAATCCAAGAACATCTCTGAGAGAAAAATGGTTGTTGGCAGACATTATGAAATACAACAAGAATGTTTTCTAATCCTCCCAGCAACCTAGCCCTAAAAACCAACCCATTCCAAAAGGAACAAGCTGTATTGTCATTTGGAACAAAGAGGGAAAATTTCCAATGTGGAATCATGACAACCTTGGTGCAGATAAATAGAGACTGCTTGTGTGTTACTGAGCAATGTGGTAGGGTGGCAAGTATAAACTTTGATCGAGATTTAAGGATGCAGTAACACTGATCATTGTGCTGGTGCTAAATATGTATGCATGCAAGATATCAGTTACTTCATTATTTATACAAGTTTGGTTTTAATTCATCTAGACCATCAATGATATGCCACCTTAATATATCATAACTCATGGCAAATGAGTATAGAAAATATATCCTCTAAGCTGTCCCAACTTGCTGGATAGCCTGTGCTATGTTGAACCCTTTCTATCAGCAGAAGTAATTGGGGCTTTCAGACATTTGAACTGCATGACCATATGGAACCCTCAAAGTCAAACCAAAAGATTCAAAACTTTCCCCTACCTCCAGCCATACTGACAGGTCAGTCACCAGGCATGAGAGGTACCACATATAAAATTGGCCTAGTGCATGGGAAGGTGCCTATTGGGATCTTCCTCTGGTCTTTGCAGCATGGGCTACCTTGCTTGAAACATTCCTTTGGCTGCCCTGTCCCCCAGAAGACATAAGGACAGTAGAAAACTAAATAATAGCATAGAACATCATTCATGGTCCAGAATGCTGTGAACCTATTTAATCCTCCAATAGAAAAACATCATAGTCAAAGACAAGCCTAAAAAAACTACCTATGGCTCTCAACAGCTCAACACCATTTAACAACAAATTCTGACAAAAAGAACATACACCCAAGGAAAGTAAAAATATCAAAACCCTGAAGGTCTGCAGACATGAAAAATCTCCTATGGAACAACAAACCAGAAGTATTCTATTTGAATATCCATGATCCAAAATTAAACTGAAAAGATCTGAAGCATAAACCATCACATAACCCCATAAAATGCATGCTGAGCCCATGGAATACGAATTAGTGCGTACCAAGGGCGTCACCACACATTCACACCTGTGTCCTACTTTGGTCTAAGATGCCAAAACAAATGACACTTACCAGCGACCAACAGTGGTTCTCGGCAGCTACAAACTCAAAGTGCTCTACTTCCACCCAGAAGTGGATTGGGGACGCAAATGACTAAGCAGATCCAGTTCTTTGTTCCGTTACCCAGAACAAGGAGCGGCAAACGAGGAACGCCACAAAGACGAACAAATCTAAACAGGTCAGCATTTCTGTCTCGATTTCCACATCCACAAGCCCAACACAACGCACACTTCAATCTAGCTACATCAAGTCATCCACAACTCCGGTATTTTACCTTAATTGGTTCACGTAATTTTCGTCGCAGTCGGGCGGTGGTCTTGCGTTCCGAGTCGCGTAGCGTCCGCGTAGATTCCTCTAGAATATTTTTGTTCTTCCGGGAAGAAGGGTTTCATACTGAATTTATCCACAAGGATGTTGTGGTCATAAATAACTAATTTATATTTCAAGTTCGGGTACATAGTTATCAGGGAGATTAACAGACTGTTTCTTCAAATCACAGTGTGCAACTTTAAGTTGCTTCATGAATACCTTCCACCTAAAAACGTCACATAGTAGGAATCTCCATTAACCTAGTTGTAGTTTAGAAGCAATGATTTTTGACTGCGATCTGCAATGCCCATTGCAGGACAATCGCAACTATTGTAAAGCAACTGCGCATTGTTATAACAGCGCTGCGTATTGTTATGGTTGATGCATTCATTCCCGAATCACAGCAACATCAGTGAATGCACGACATTGCTGATATTGTTCAAAACATAGAGAAAAAAATATATAAATGTACTGCCCTTTTTGCTAATTTTGGCCGGCTATATCAAGGTTTAGAGGACCAAAATTCATCTTGATTAGAATGGTCATCAAATAAATAAACTTACTGAATGAAGCAAAGTTTTTACATTAAAGAACCGCGCGGTTTTCTTGTTATACTTTTCATCTGCCTTACCTGCAAAATAGAAGCCATATTTGTTATCGTTTTGCAGCACATTAGAGAACGGAAGACGAGGAACTACGCGGAGAAGCGCTGGGGCCAGGGGTCGGGCTGCATGCGGGGTCCTGGAGAGTATTAATGGTTATGGTATCATTGACGTAGGGAAAAAAACTGGAGACAAGCTGCAAGTATTTTGCTTTTTGCCCACACTGTCATTTTAAGTTATTTCGATCTGTCAGAATAGGACGAGCAAAGGCGCTTTCATTTTCCATTTTAGTTTAATGTTCGGTATTCCGTCTGGGCACGTTGAACTCATGGAGAATAGACCGTGGTGAAGGTGCTGGGAAGCTGGGCTTTGATTAAAGCTTTGCTCCAAGAATTCAAGCTGGATAAGCTTCCTGACTACCTCAGAGATACAGTTGATTGGTTTATGGGGTAAGGCGTTGCATGATTTAGGTCTTAGATGCCCATTGGGTTTCTTGGCCAAAACAATCTGAATGTGACATGTTGAAATATTGATTTTATCATGTATTGAAGCCCTAGTTTGACTTGTATTAAAATGTGACTCATGCTTTGTATATTTATGAAAACCTCAATCCTGAAATGTTGTATTTTAAAGTAATGCAGTCATTTTAAGAGCATGTTAGTGGTATACCACCTACTGCATTTCAACTGCATGTCACCTCTGTCACTCCTGGTGTGAATGTGCAATATGCAATATGTTTGCACTGCATAAAGCCATTACCACCAAAGCTGGATAACTATAGCTACAGTGCAGCATTGCTTGTGATGAAATCGCTATTCTTAAGCTCATTGTAAATGCAAAGAAAAATAATTGATTTTGTTGTTTGCAGGGTATTATATATCTTCATGGATTTTAACTAGCCCTCATTCTGACCTGACCAAGCAGAAGCAGAGCTTAACTCATCTGACCTAGACCTAGCATGGTCCGACCTAATCTAGTTTATCTGAACCTTCATGGCCTTTGTAACATAACATAATCTATATGATATCTCAGCATGCATGGTATTCCTGCTTTGTCATGCATAGTGAATGCCAGCAATGAAGATATAGTTGATTACACTGAATCAGCATGGCTCATTCCTTGTACTTATGCATATTATTGGTGCTGTATATATATATATATATATATATATATATATATATATATATATATATATATACACAAAATTTATTATTCCAGTGTGCCAGTAACACACTGAGACAAAATCATATGGGTAAGAGAGAAATGCAATAGAATGTCAGTTCTATGATAGATTTGAAGAGCTTAGAAAGCTAGGTATTTATTTGCATATACATTGTATATTGGAAAGGGCCAAAGCAGTCATCCAAAACAATGGAGCGGCTCGCAAGTGAGTGACATAGTTCATGTGCAGGTCATTCTTAAGAGGGTGCCAAATCAAAATGCAGAGAAATCAAGAAGAAGCTTTTCAGAATATATAGGCTTATTACAAAGTTTTGTCTTTATGCTTAATGTAAATATTGGATTATCCAGGCATGGTCAGACTTAAAGTATCTATGTTAGTTGCACTCTTCCCTGGGCCTGTATGACTTTCTTAATATAAAATAAATTTTGCAGTCAAACCTTGTGTCATGCCTCTTCAGGTGATCTTACACATTGCTGCATTGCATAGCTTAGTTTTGCCATGTGTACTTGTAAACTTGTAGTTGTTTGATATTGTAAGACCTGAATATGAAGTTATGTGATGCTTCCATGTACAACATACCAACTGTCAGGCCTTGCCCAATATTAGGTTATCATCAAGGTAGTTTAGAGTCCATTTAATAGCAGCATTTGAAAGGTATGTGTCATGCTTTATGTGACATTGTGACTGCTGGCAGTGGACATTTTTACATTGATTCAGTTGGAATTGTTTTACCAGTTTGATGATGTCACTTGTGTCTATCAGTATGATAGGTAAGCAGTAGTTAACTGATACTGGAAATCAGATCTCCATCATGTCTTGTTCTGCTTTTGGTGCTTGCTTGAAGCCCATGATGTGTGTGGAAGTGTGAGGAAACAAGATGCTTTAAGATACCTGTTTTTGCTAGTCATGGAAATGTTCTTGGAAGAAAACATTTAATTTTACTAAGTTGTATTTGATTTGATTATATATTGGAAAGTGGAACATTGGGATTATATCTGATAGATATAATACTTAATTCAAACTGGACCACAAGCCAGCAGTGTGCATATAGGCCACTGTCTATATGGCTTAACAGGTAATGTGTATAAATGTGGGGGTGCAATGTATACTGAACAGTGATGATTATGCTCACAAACTTCACTGAACAGTTAGGGATGCTTCACCAGTGCACTGTTGTTCTTTTGCATGGTGCACCTGAAACTTGGTTTAAGTGTGAGGAATGTGAAACAGAACATATCTGACAAAGTGTGACTGCAATGCTGATGCATTAAAATGCCAAATTATGCTTGGGTCCATTCTTTTCTATTGACAGCTTACTATGTTAAAGAAGAGGGCTATTTTGGCACAAATGTCTGATTTTTTTTGTAAACCAGTCTTATTTTCAGTTTATGTCAGTACAGTCATGTACATTGCATTATGCATGCTGTGAAACAATAATGAAGGGAAACCATCCTAGAACTTTGAAGAATCTGAATCTGCACCATGCCCTGAAAGACAACTCTGGGATTATATTAAGTTATTTGTTGAAATGCATGCTGTAAAGCATCTGATTGACCATTGCCAACTGTTCTGATCTCAACTATGCCATTTCCATAGCACAATGTCTGCTAGGTAATATGGGAGCAGGAACAAAGCCAGTGGTAGGGGAGGAGAGGGGGATAGTTTTCCAAAAAGGTGAATTGCTGTAGCTTCTCCATGCCAAATACTGTCCACTAATCAACTCTGAGATGGTACTTGTCTCTGACTTGGGCTGTTGAATAGCTGAAAGTGATGACCCTAATGGACAGCTGGGGATCTGACCACAGTGTGCCAGATGTCTGGGCTCATATTCTAGAAATGATAATGATGTGAATCATCAAAAGGGGCTGATTGTCAACTGACCAACATAGAGCCAAGCTGAGTTAGAGGCTGTCACATCACATGTTTGCATGGTATGCCCAAATCCTTTGGTGCAATGCACATGTGTACTTTGGTACAATCTGACAGGGGATCAAAGCAAAAATGGTCTGTTGAATGGCAACTGGGCCATGTGGGTGGTGGTGTCAAGGTCATAGTAAGCTGTGCTTGACAGAGCCCATGATTCCAAAGCCACAACTGCCACACACTTGATACCTTGCTGCAAATAAGCAGATCTAGTACAGGAGACCAAATTTATACATACAAACGCAAATTTTGTGATGTCCTTGCATTTATCATTCCTTAGAGTTTTTGGGAAGGCATGAAATAGCTAGTTTTGGGAACAATTTACCTACATAAACCCTGTCCACATTGTTGGGAAGGTCTTCATGTCTCCAGTTCCTTGTGTGGGCCAGGAAACTGACCCAAACCCTCCATAATGAGACTGGGTGCACTGTGATGCCGGGTGACCTGACTTGACCCCACCTGACCTCGCCCGGCAGCAAGGCGCGCCGGAAGGACCGCGAGAGCTCGGCGCCCTCGCAGGAGGAGCACAAGCTGTACCTGGAGGAGGCGGTGCTAGAACGGAAACACAGCGACACCGACCTCCGCCAGCTGGTCGACCTGCCGCCCGGGCTTGGCTACAACGAGTGGCTAGCCTCTCACAGTGAGTGTCGCACGCTCGGTGGGGTGCGGGTAGCCGGGCTGGTCTAGTGAGCGCCCAGTGTGGCGCCATTGCGCTGAACACATTGTATCGCCCGTTTCCGTCCCGTGTCCCCCGCTCAGCCAGCGCGTCTTAGTCATCAGCGGACTGCAGGCCCCAGCCGTGAGGGCCCTCCGTCCGTGTCGGTGGGTCAGGTCAGGTCAGGCGTGTGGTCGGCGGTAAGCGGAGCTGATGAGGCGGCCGCGAGCCGTCCGGGCCCCGCTGGCCCCCGCAGACCCCCGCAGACCCCCGGCGACCCCCGGCGACCCCCGGCGACCCCCGGCGACCCCCGGCGACCCCCGGCCTCCCCGAGCCCGCGCAGACCCCCGGCCCTTCCGAGCCCCCACGCGAGCCCCACAGACCCGCCACAGACCGCTACATGCCGCCGCAGACCGTCGCAGACCCCCGCAGAGCCTCGGCCCTCCCTAGCCCCCACAGACCCCTAGGTACAGTTAGGTTGGGTTAGGTTAGACCTCAGTGACACGCTCTCCGACAGGTTACTACTTGGGGGCTGGAGCTTGAAGGTAGTGTCCCACTTTTGTTATATATTAAAAGAAGACTCAAATGAAACCTCAGGACCAGTTAGTCCAAGCACTGGGCAGTGCCACTGCTGCACCATCAGGGCATAGTGGAGATATAGACTTAAATTGTTTTCGAGTCCAAATTGCGCTTTCAATGCTATGTAACAACACTACGCTTCCCCCCTGCAGTCGCGATAGCCGTCGTCATGACAACGGCAGAATCTGCAAGGGGGGGGGGGGCGGCTGTCGACTGGTACTGAATGACGTCAGTACAAACGAACGTCTGTGATTGGCACAGCGGGCGGCAAAGGCCAGTTACCGAGAAGCGCATTGGTTGAAGTTTGAGCCTTTGCGTCACTTTAGACCATGTGATACTCCGTTTCCTAAAGCCAAAGCGCACTTCGAAAAGAGACGCTGGTAAACGCAATGGGGAATAAATCGAAGCCATAGCATAACGTTTCGTTGAATTCGCGAGGTAATAACTTTATGCTTGAATATCTTTTTCTCTAAACGGAGTTTTTCAAACGTCCGCAGCCTTAATTACACGAACATTTGTACAAATGAGTGTGTTTGCGGAACACACCCGCGGGAAAAAGTAAGGAAAATTAAATGTATTACTTTCATAGTGGTGAGTAGGAAATCCAGTAAGGTTTCTCCCACAGGGGTGACTGCTTCAAATACAAAGTCTGAGCCTTTCAGAAGCATTTCGAGAAACCTGGTATTACTGATCAAATCGGACGCGTCTGATCTAGCATAAAGTGGGGGATGCAAAGAGGTGGCATACTCCCCTTCAAGCAGGCTGGATGTAGCGTCATCACTCGTCGTATCTCATTGTAGTAGCTCTGATATGACCTAGGGAGGCCAAGGGGCTCTAAGCAAATCGAAATGAACATGGACGTGCAGGCATCATGAGGTGGATTCAGCGGGAATTCGAGCACTGCGCCCACTGAAGAGATTAACAGAGGACTGGACATGTACCTAACCTCTCCGATCATTGAAACGGCACGGGCGGGGCTGTTTCTTGGAGATGCCGTTAGGAAGCGTTGTCAAAAGGTGCTGCGAGATGAGTTATGCAGTCAGTGAGGTGAACCCAGTCCGTTTGTCAGGGCGTGTGCAGATAGCACTGAAACACAGTCTACCACAGAAGCAAACCTTACCGCGACGATGATAACAAGTAACAATGTTCAGAACGGCGAAGGTTTGGACGCCATGTGGCGACGCATCGAAGCAAACCTTACCGCGACGGTGATAACAAGTAACAATGTTCAGAACGGCGAAGGTTTGGACGCCATGTGGCGACGCATCGAACTGTAGCGAACGATCGACGGCGGACCGGGCTGCCCGGTGATTCGTCTGCCGGCAGACGGTGTCCGTCTAAAAGCCGCCCCGGGCCGGGCCGATGGCCCAGACACGGCCGGCCCGGGGCAGCCGCCCTCTGTCGTGTGACTGAGCTGGTGGCCCAGACACGGCCCGGCGGGCTGGACAGTCGGCCTGTCTCTGCCGTCCTCTGTCGTGTGACCTAGCGGGTGGCCCAGACACGGCCCGGCGGGCTGGACAGTCGGCCTGTCTCTGCCGTCCTCTGTCGTGTGACCGAGCGGGTGGCCCAGACACGGCCCGGCGGGCTGGACATTCGGCCTGTCTCTGCCGTCCTCTGTCGCGTGACCTAGCGGGTGGCCCAGACACGGCCCGGCGGGCTGGACAGTCGGCCTGTCTCTGTCGTCCTCTGTCGTGTGACTGGCCGGTACAGTCCTTCGCATTGATGTCGGCGTGTGGCCTGTGATTGGGTAGACTGTCCTGGCCGTGGTGCGCTTGTAACCATGCTTGTGCCGTCAATTGATCGGGGGTTGGTCCTTGTTTTAAATTTTGTTCGGCACTCGACGATATGAAAGTTCACAGCACCTGTGTAGATATGCGTACTGCGAGCGGTTGCAGAGGTGTTCCGTAAGCGGGGGCTGTTATCTGATATCGTTGTTACCATGCAACCCAACGCCGTACGTAACGGCAACGCTGCCTCTTTTTCTAACAGATCCATTGCCTGCGGCGCCGCGCTGCCGCTGTCGTCACGCTGTGGGCTGGCGAGGGGGGGGGGGGAAGAGGGGAGGGGGCGTAGCTGTGGCAACGTGCCGCACTCCATTCCGGGATGCGGCGTCGTACCCCAGAGCGTGGCACTGCCGCCCGGTGGTGTGGTGCGACCCGGTGTCGCGTGGCGACGGCTCGCGGAGGAGCGCCGCTGCCCCGCTGGTGATCGATACGGTGCCTCCGTCGACGGCTGATCCATCGGCAGAACACGTCCCTGGCCGGCCGCGCTCGCCGCTCACACCACCGGCGGGCCCTCGGCGCGGCGCAGGGCGCCGCTCCCAAACACCGCCGATGTTTGTTGCTCTCAGGTGGTTTGAAGTGAGGTCCCATGTTGGACTTTACGACTGAGTTTGTTTGTGGCCACCATCGTGGGGTTCGGGTTAATATGTTATAGTATCCGGGGATTTATGACAATTTTGCTGAAGCAGCCATCCGCTCCCTCGGGCCACGAAAGCTTTGATCCGTGTGTGCCGGGCTGACTCTGCCTGCTGACAGCCGACAGCCCGGCTGGGACGGCCAACAGTCTGTCGTCTCCGACTATCCGCGAGCGTAGGCACGCCGAGCACGCGCCTCCGCCGGCCCGGCGCCCCCAGGCTCTGTCGCGCGCGCGTCTGCCGCACGTCCCCCGATAATGCACGCTGTCATGAGCGGATCTGCCGGGTCGCGCCGGGCCGGATGTCGGTCGCCTTTTGTCGTCCTGGCGCTCGCTGGCATCATGTGATAGCAGCTGGGGAGACAGCAGCTTCAACCGGCTGGGTGCCCTCCTGGCTCCCTGTTCACACACCATGCCGTGTTTGGAGGGTGATCCGCTCATTATGCGACGCGAGTGACGCGGCGTTCAGTGTCTATATCGGGGTTCGGGGTGCGGTCGTGATCAAGTTACTGGAGCGTGCTATTGAAATGATCATGCTCTGAAATAATTGCGTGCCGAAGCAATTTGCATGCATGATTTGTATTATTGGCGTACGGTAATTCGAGGCACAGGCGTGTCTAGGACGATGTCGATCGTAGGGCGACGGCGTGCGTCTACTGGCGTGGGGCAATCCATACGAATGCGTCGGAGCTGCTGTCCAGAGTCACTGCTGGTCAAAGCACACTTGTCAGCGCGTGCTAATCGTACTTCACGCGTACAGGATAACACAAAAGTAGGTTAATCCCGAGGCGCATAATCACAACCGCCCCGCAGCCAACGGGCACTTAACAGGTGCGGCGAGACACTGCTGGGGCAGTGAGATTGACGTGGTCCACCGGCCCGGTATAAGTGGCCGGAGGTGGGTGTCCACTGGTCTCGTGCCAGCCTCGGTCCGCGGCTTGAAGAGGCGCAGCCCCGCCTGGTCGCCCCCTCAGCGTCATCTCGCCGATGACACACCGCTCGTGAGCCGCAGACTCGGGCCATCCGTCAGTCAGAACCCTGTACTGTGGTCCACCCATGATAATCTTAGAATGACCTTGCACCTTACAGCTAATCGATTTGTCCCGCTTTTGGATGGTCTCCACCCAGCCTCACTCATCCAGTGACTGTTTTACGTCATTGCCAGAGCGCGTTTGGCGTGTGTGCACAGGCGGTTATCACAACACGGCCGCGGGGCGATACGCGGTGTCGAAAGCGCGGCGCGATACGGCCGGCGCGGTGTCCGTTATCGAGGTGCCGTGTCTCTGCACCCCACGCTGCCGCACTTACGGTCGCGTGTGATAAATGACGTCGGCGTTACGACGCCGCCGTCTGCGCGGGCTGGCCAGGTCTGGTACGCGGTCGGTCCGCGTGGTACCGTGCGACCACCTCCCATGTGCCAGGGCGGTACCGTGTGACTGACCTTGCCGTGTACCGGTGCGGTACCGGCGCGTGACGGGCCGGCCGCGCCCCACCGCCGTCCCGTGGGACCGGTGCGGTACGTAGTGTGGTACCGTGCTACCTGCCACTCGTCGTCATCCTGCAACGCGGTCGCTTACGTCGTTACCCCCCTGCCCGTGGCCCGCCGCTGGCCCTGGCCGACACCGCGACCACTGTCGACTGTCGGCTGGGGCAGACAGCGCCATTGATCGTCGCAATCTCGTGCTGACACGGCCATGTGCCGGCGCCAGCGGCGCGGCGCTGTCGGGTCTGTCGGCGCCGCTGCCGCTCCGTGACGGCCCGGCTCATGCTCGCGCCTATCACTGGTGACTCACGCGTCCGCTCTGGGCTTTGACGGGCGGCTCATGGATGGCGGCGGGATGTGTGTCCGGTTTGCGGCGATGTTGCCGCGGCGGACGTCAGGCTGCGTCCGCGCCAGCCTGCCCAGCTGACGGCGTGCGCTCTGTTGCAGCGATCGACTTCTTCCAGCACATCAACCTGGTGTATGGCACGATATCCGAGTACTGCACCACGTCCTCGTGTCCGGACATGAACGGACCATGCCAGAGGTAACACTCCATCACGTCCGCTGACACGCGGGCTGTCATGCTGTCAACACTGTCTGGGAAACGGGCCATTCACGTGCACCGGCGCGCGGCCGGCGGCGCGGCGGACGTGCGCTGCCGCTCGCCTCGGGCGCTGTGAGGGAGTTGCGGTATTGTGTTTGGTGAATGCATGTCGCGTTCGTGTTGCACAAAAAGTCCCGCCAGCCAAGTGCGCTCTCCGCGGAGAGGGCGCCTCCGTCGGGGCGGCGTCCGACCGGGGCGTCGAGCCGGCGACCTTCCGACGGGGCTGACCTTTCGCCGGCGGCCGCCCCAGTGGCGCAGTGGGGCCGGGCCGCCGGCCGCTCGTCGCCCCACTGCACCGTGACATTTGCTGGGGTGGTGGGACCTTCGGCCGCCGCGGCCCTCCGCCGTGGGCGGTGACCTTGATCAGGGCCGGTCGGATGGACGTTTGTGTGGGATGTCGCAGCGCGCCCTGGGCGGGTTTGTTTAGAGACGGTCCTCTCTGGCCGGCCGGCAGTGTCGGACGTGCTTTTTTAGGAACGCTCTGCCCTAACTTCAGGCCGCATGACGTCACTGGTTTGGCAAGCGGGGCCAGAGCTGACTGATAACGATTTTGCTCCCAAGGCTCTCTCCGAGCGCGCCAGTGTAGGGCTGCGTGCATGGGATCGTTAGAAGCCGCCGAGGCATCGATTGTTTTCCGCTGCCGGCGGCCGGGCTGTTGGCTTGTGGACTGAACAGGCGCTGCTATTCTGGGTACCTCGCCGTTGCAGGCAATACTTCTGGGTCGACGAGAGGGGAAAGAAAACAAAGACGACAGCACCTCAGTACGTCGATTACGTGATGACGTACATCCAGAAGACGCTTAACGACGAGCCAGTATTTCCCAGTAAACCAGGTGAGGCTGGCGTATTGTGTGACGCGTGGAAGCCGTAGTCTCGAGCGTGGCGTCGCGCGCCGTGCGGGCTCCGCCGGCGCCGTGGCCGAGTCGTCCGCCGCGCGCTCTGAGTGCTGGCAGATGGCGGTCGTTCACGACGCCGCATGGACTGACTCGGGCGCGGGCGGGCACCAGTGCCGCTCAGGCGCGGGTCTCGGGATGCCTCCGACACCGGTCTGGGCTATTTTGTGGGTGTGGGTGTGTGCCTGTGCGGGTGCGGGTGCGGGTGCGGGTGCGGGTGCGGGTGCGGGTGCGGGTGCGGGTGCAGGTGCGGGTGCGGATGTGGGTGTGGATGTGGGTGTGCATGTGGAGACGAGTCCAGGGGTGCACGCTCTGAAGTCCGATCTCCACCTTGGACTCTTCGCTTGTCTGTCATTGGTGTGACAGTTTGTTTTTATTCGCTGAATTCGAAGTGTCGTGCCACCGCTCACTGTTATCGGCGCCATTACAGCGCGATACGTCTGTCTGATGTATCAAGGCGGTTCTTGTGCGACGGCCACTTACAATTGGAGCGCATTACGTGCTGTGGCGCTTTCCATTAAATACGCCACTTGTCTTCTGGTTTACGCCCATGCCCCCCGTGAGATGGGCCTGTAATATTCCAATGACACCAGACGGCTCGGGCATGGCCAGCGGTCGTTGTGTGGGCCTTGGTTTTCCCCCAAATGTTGCGCTCGCGTGCTGTGCAGACGCGGAGCGTGTCAATTTGACTGAGCGTGGGCGGCCGGTGCCAGGAGCGGGGCAGGCTGTGCCGATTGTGGACCACCGGCCGCCGCCGGCGTGTCCGTGACGGTGACCTGGTCACAGCGCCGGTCGTGTGTGTGTCTGTGTGTGTGTGTGGCCCCGGCCTGCCAGTCGTCACGCGCTGACCTCAGGCCCAGCCCGCCGCCTCTCTGTCTCGTGCGGCGCGGCGTCCGCCGGCCGTGACGGGCAGCAGGCCGCGCGCTAGCTACCCAGCTGCGAACCCCGCTTCATCATCACGTCGGCCGGGCGGCGGCGCATCCGGAAAACACAGCGTCGCCGGCGGCTGTGCGGCGGGCGGCGCTGGAGATGAAAACCTGCCGGTCTTGTCCAGTCTGAGTGGCCTAACTGACGGCCGTTTGTAAGGGGTCGTTGGGATTCCCATTGCCCTCTCGTAGCTAGTCGATGTTCGTTGCTGTTGTAACCGGTTGCCGCCGTTCGCAGTGAACGACTTTCCGACGGACTTTGAGGTGGTGGTGCGCCGCATCTTCCGGCTGTTGTTCCACGTGCTGGCCCACATCTACCACCACCACTTCCGCGAGGTGATGTTGCTGACGCTGCACGCCCACCTCAACTGCATCTTCGCCCACTTCACACTCTTCAACGAGCGCTTCAAGCTCATCGACGAGAAGGAGACCGAGGTGCTGCACGACCTGGTGGTGGCGCTGAAGCTGGCGCCGCGCGCGTCGGCCGCGTCGGCCGCGGCTGCGGCGCCGCTCGCCGCTGCCGCCGCCGCCGACGGCGACGAGAACAAGGAGAACATTGACGTGGCGAACGGTCGGGCGTCGGGGGGCGACAAGGCGGAGAGCATGGAGACGGACCAGCCGGAGCCGGACGGCCGGCCTGCGCCCGCCGAGCCCTGCCAATAGTGATACGCCCCGCTCTGCGCCGCGCCGCGCCGCACGCGTCTTACCCTCGCCTCGTCCGTGGCCGGAGGGGCCCGGCCCGCACGCGCTCCGGGCCGCCTGCTGTAGGCGCCGCGCGCCACCGACGCCACCGCCGGGATAATTTATTTTAACCATATTAGTTTCTTCTGCAAGCGCGTGACCTAGCTTGCATCTAGTCGGTCTGTTGTGATTGTTGGTACAAATGTAGCGACATTGTTTTGTGTGGCCGGTGGGGCCGGCGGCTCCGGCTCGGCCGGCCCCGCCGCGTCGCCGCGGGCCCACCCGAGTGTTGATTTCAGCCATGATTTTACTGTTGACTAGCCGCCCTAGCTGGGTAGCCGTATCCCTGTCCACGATTGCTGTGCAATATCCCGTCGCGCTCTGTCCCTGTCTGTCGTTTCGAGTCCGGGCGAGCGCTGAGCGGCGTCAGATTTTCGCTCCCTCCCTCCCGGTCTTCTCCGGCTCTTGCCGACCTCCCTCCTCCGCCCATCGGCGGGCGCACCAGCGGGCTGAAGCGCGCTCCTCTGGCGCTGTTTCTTGTCCTCCATATCACGTAGTATGGAGCGCCACGCTGACGCGGCGCCTTTCCGTCTCTCTTTCTCTCGTCGGGCCGCTCGCAGACGCCTGCACCCGTCAGCCGAGCGCCGGCCGGGTGGTGCCACCCGCCATCTGTAGCGCAGTCAGTGATCTCCAACTCTGGACAGTGGCTCGCCTTCTCGATCCAGCCGCCTAGCAAATCATGTGTGACGCGTAGCCCGTTGATCTTGTGGGCGCCAGTCGACTCCGGTGTACTGCTGTTGGCGAGCGCGGCTTCCGCTCTATTATGTGACGCGTGATGGGCCCGGCCCTGCGCGGCCGTGGCCTGCACGTGTGCGCCGTGCTGCTCCTGGACGCCGGTGGCGCGGTGCGCCCGGCGCCGGCCGCGCCCACCTGTCCCGTGCCGGCCCCGTTTGTGTTACGCCGCCCGAATCGGGCGAGACCGCGTCCCGACCGGCCGCCGCTGCGGCTGCCCCAGTCACAAGGGCGCGGCGCGGCTGTCCGTGCCCGCGTGCGCGCGCGCGCACGCTGGCACGTCGGCCGGTGTCGCGGCGCCGCCGCCGTCTGTTGGGGTGATCGCACCTAGTTACTGGATCCTGCGGGGGTATTTTTGTGAGCGTGCGCGGTGGGCGCCGTTGGATGGTCGGATCGAGGCCTGTCTGAGAGGTGCGTCGGCCGGCGGCCGGGGCCGGCCAGGTGCCCTGTCATGCCCGTCGCTGTGCCACCGCCGCCCGGCCGGCCGCCTCCGAGCGCTAATTCACCTGTAGAATGTGATAGACGGACTGACCTCAGGGTATATGGAGGTCATTCCGATAGACCAGAAACAAATAAATTATGTGCACCGTGGCGCCAGCGTTAGATTGGGCCGTCCGGTGCTGGGAGGAGGCTCACTAGCCTCAAACGGCTACAGGAGGGAATACCCCGTGCCACGACTCCAACGTGGATGCAGTCGCTTTGGCGCAAGAAGCTGGAATGCTACGGCGGAAATAACGGTAGGCCATTTTGAGACTCGTTTGCATGTTCTGTCAAAATGGCCAGCGCGGCGTATTTCGGTGAGCCTCATCTGACGTCGCAAGTCCAACAAACAGACGATGTGTGGCGCGTCGCGCAGCGGAAGGACAAATACGACTGGACTTGTGTGGTCAAATGTCCTCGAGGTTTTTGCCATGCTCGTCTTGCCACGCGCATGACACGGCCAATGACTAACGATAGACGACCGGCAGATCACGGCTGTCTTCCTCGCACTAGACGAATGCCCTCGTAAATGAAGCCTGGGCACACAGGAAGGGTTTGGGTGGCTTGCCTACGGTGCCGCCCACCGCGCCTGACCGCGGGCACGTCATCAGAACAGGCCTCGGCGTGTGACGTCACGGATTCACTGGACCGACTTGGCACGTGCCAAGAGCGGTAGTGTCGCTCCCTTGGTGGGGCGGTCATGGCAATGTCTTCAGGGACAGAGACTGGCCACTCTGGGGTGGGCCGCCTTCGGATTGTTGCGGCGATTAGATCCGGGCTATGAAGCTGACTTTACACTAGTGTGCTGCAAAATAGCGCTGTTGTTCATTTTGACTGATGACACTGAACGTGGGTGGGGCTAAGTTGTTGGCACCTATTTCTGCTTGGCTGGGATTGAGACAAGTTCGGTCTTCATTGGCCACTTCATGGCTATGTGGTGGAGAGGGGAGACAAGAAGTGGGCCGAGCATGGGCCATCGCGGGATCGCTTCCCATATGTCTTCCCCCCGCCATCCGTCGCGCCGGGTCTTCCCCAGTGCTTGTGCGGGGCCATCCCATGGTGGCTGTGGCCACGCTGCATAAATACAAGTCAGTTTTATATGATTCAATGGGACGTAACTGCCCACATAAACGACGTGTGCCAAAAACACGCATGCTAGTGGGATGCCCCGCCCCAGCACCATGTGATCTGTTTTTATATTTAGCTGCAGTCGGCATCTGACATAGTATAATGCTGCCGCACGCCGCTCCTTTGCGCTGATAGTTTCCGTTGTGACTTCATGCAGCGTGTACAACCTTGTCACGACGTGGCGCAGTGTCCGGATCGGTTCATGTCAGCTGGCTTTTTCGGATTCAAGTTTTCTGCCCTTCACCCCGTGACACCTATCAAACTGTTCATAGAGTAAACAATACAACGTGTTCGTTTCCTTGCCATGCATTCAGCTCGGTCGGTCTTAATGCTCATCAGATAAAATCTTTTTAACCTTCTACCACGATCGCAGTATCACCTTTGCGACTCATCTTGTCCTCATTACCTTATGATCAACATATTAATTTTCTCACTGGGGATGAAAAAGCGCGCGTCATACATGCTGTGTATTTATTATCCCTATCAATACAAATGACTCACGAATAAATGCCAATGTATGACAATGACAATGTACACGGTGAGGGATGAAAGAACGAGCAACAGATACATCTCTCCATAATAATCACCAATAAAAACGGCGAGCCGGACTACACGCAGCTAGCAATCACATTATATATGTATAGACGCGCGGCGCGGCGCCTAGCACTCTGCAAGCCTGGAATGACTGGGGCGCGCCCGGTCCACGGGCAGGGTGGCGCCCTCTCTGATGGCCGCCAGGTGGGGCGGCTGCAGCGTGCACACCACCTGGTCGCCGCTGAGCACGGCCATCGCCACGTTCTCGCCGTAGCCGCGCAGCCGGCGCAGGTCGTGGTACATCTGCGCCTGGTCAAAGTCCCGCAGGCGGGCCTCACTCAGCGCCTGGCAGTGCGGCGCCGCCTGACTAGCGGCGAGCGCGCGCGCCTGGCCGCCGCCGGCGCGCACCGCCCGCTCGGCGCCGTACGGAATCAGCGGCCGGTTATCACTGTAGTTGCGCGAGCTCTGTCGGCTCATGTCCGACTGCTTGCGGTCCTCGTCGCTGACGTCCGAGACGAGCAGCTCGTGGCGCGGCTCGTGGCGCTCGATCTCCTCGTACACCGGGTCGCCGTCCACCTCCATGTAGGTGTGGTAGGGCGAGTGGGAGCGGCCCCCGCGCCCGCCGCGCCGCACCTGCTGCTGGTACACGGCGAAGAACTCGGGGTTGACGCGCGGCCCCAGCTCGCCCGGCTGCACGGGCACCAGCACGGCGGCCGGCCGCTCCAGGCTCGGTGCCGACGCCAGGTAGCGCACGTTGTTGAGCGTCAGATGCGGCGACTCGTTCTCGGAGCCGGTGCCGTGGCCTGAGTCGTGACTCTGCATGTTGTAGGCGCCGCTCTGCAAGGAGGGAGGGGGACGTCAGTCAGGCAGGTCACGCGGCCTGATCCGTGCGCGGCGACGGGGATCGATTGCCCGTCTGTCTAGACAGCTGCTCAGCCACCGCAGCTGGCCGGCAGCTGGGTGGGCGGGGACCAGGCCGACGCAAGTGACGAGGATACGGTAGGCCAACAGAGAGGCATGGCAGACCCGGAACGTTTGGTAACGCTTCAGAACTTGTAGCACAAACACAATGTTTTCCAATCACGTCTGATAAAGTAAATCTGGATTCAATGCCTGACATGACACTGTAAAAAGGTCCATCATGACAAACGTGAAGTAGCATTGCCAACAGCCTTGAGCAGTCTGCGCCACTTGTACCACAAAAGCCACTGGGCACGGTATGAAGAACTTGCCGGTTACACAGCAGTGCATGCGAGAGCCGGCAGTCCCCAAACGCCACCTGACGGCAATCGGCACGTCAAGAAGAGGTCACAAGGTCGCCTCACCTTCTCGGCGGCCAGCACCTCGCCGCCGAGACTTGTGCGCAGCTTGGCCGGCATAGAGCTGCGCATGGTGCCGCGCCGCAGGCTGCCGGCCGGCGTGTGCGCCGGGTTCAGCGAGTTCAGCGTGGCCGACTTGGGGTTGGTCGGCGCGTGCGGCGACCACAGGCGCGGGATCTGCGGCAGGCGGGCGGTGACAACACGGCGACACGGAGCCAGCAGTGACTGACGCTCAAGGGCTGTAGCTGTGCGTTTGGAATTGAAGACAGGCTTCAGCGCAACAAACCCTTTGAATCTAAGCACTGAGACCCGTCACCAAACACATTTCAGATAGTGAATGTGCGCGACGGTGCCATTGAAATTATATGCCAAATGTGTGGTATGCTGTATGTGCGCTGAGTACTGACCACGACACACAACACCCGACGAGGCAGAAGATGAACCAAAGCGGACAGGTAGGTGCGCGGTTGCCATGCGGACATCACAGGAGGAGGGTGACGTCATGCGATCGGTCGAAGCGTGAGCCGAGACGTACATTGTTCTGCGTGGCCAGGTTGAGCACGGTGTTGATGGTGCCGTTGCTGGTGGAGAGCGCCTCGGCGTGGTCGCGGCCCAGCGTCTTGGAACTCTTCAGGCAGACGGGTAGCAGGCCGTGGCTGTCCAGCTCCTTCCTTACCTGATGCGACGTCACAGAGCATGCTACAGAGCGTGCACACGCAGCTCACGGACAGCGGTGCAGGCACAGCCACACGGATCCCCGAGCGTGAAGCCCCGGCGGGCAGGACTCCGACTCAACAGGGCTCGAAAAAACGGCTGATGAGGGGCCAAACGACCCATGGCCAAACAGCGAACGTACACAAGCCTCGGGCGGCCGGCAAACATCCCCGCGCGCAAAGCAGGCGAAAACCGAGAGAGAAGCTTGGCATGCAGACAGACAGCCCTCGCACGCGTACCTTCTCGTTCTGGACACAGTGCAAGGCGAAGATGAAGAGTCCGAGCAGCGCGTTGGCCACGGTGAAGAGGTAGGCCATGACAACGGTGCGCTGGTCCAGGAACACCAGGCCGAACGTCCAGGTGAGCACGAGCAGCAGCAGCAGCAGAAGCGCGGCGCGCAGCCAGGCGCGGATGTAGGAGAGCCGCGACTGCTCCTTGGTCTTGATGGTGATGGCGGCGCTGCTGTGCTGCAGCATCACGAACACGGCCAGCCCCAGGAAGATGGCGGTCAGCTGAAAGTGGGGGCGGCGGTCAGCGGGGCGTCGGAGTTGTTTGGCACGTGGACACGAAAGCGTGGCGTCGTACAGCAAACACGCTCGTAAAGCGCCGCCGTCCGCACGCACTGTGCCGCTGCCGCCGCGTAAAAACAGCCCGTATTGAACGGCGCTGCATAATGCATGAGCGGCGATTGGTTCCGCCTGGTCATACTGCAAACAGGCATTTGAATGCGTGCCGTTGAAACTAGAGTCGCGTCGCGGCCGAATGACGGTCGACAAATCCCACCCAGTGAGGCGTATCAGTGCGACAATTCAAACACCACAACGCGGCCGGCGGAGGCCGACCTGCCGCTTCAGGCGAGAGGCGAGAAAACATCACGGGGCGGCAGCGCCGCACACCGGCCGGGCGTGAAGCCCGCCGGCGAGCCGCGGCCGCGACTGCGAACTCGCGCTCACCAGGATCAGGATGATGGCCGGGCCGGCGAAGCTGAAGACGAAGTAGTTGTCCGTGCGCAGCCAGCAGTGCGACTCCGTGCCGTAGCTGATGGGGTCGACCACGCAGGAGACGGCCACGATCAGCAGCGGGATGCCGTAGGCGGCCACGTAGTACCACTTGAGCCGCGACCGCTCGCCCTCAAACACCGTCAGCGTCACGTACAGCTGGAACGCCTCGAAGAAGAGCCAGAAGAAGGCGGCCATCAAGAAGAAGTGCATGAGGCCGGCCAGCACGCCGCAGACCACCGGGCTGCCGGTCTGGTGCAGGCCCACCAGGAAGCTCAGCTCCACCATCAGCAGGCACACGATCAGGTTCTTGTGGATGGAGGTGCGGTCCGACTGCAGACCCCGCAGCAGGATGAGTGCCAGCAGCGTGGCGCAGAGGCAGAGCAGGGCCACGGCGCAGCCGACGTACACCACGATCCGCAGCGCCTGGTCGTCCTGCGTCAGCGGCGCCGCGAACACGTCCATGAGTACGGCGAAGCTGGTCAGGTGGTCGCACTCACACATGGTGTGCGTGCGGTTGGTGAAGGTGACGCGACAGCCCTCCTCCGACCACATGTTGACCGTGTAGTCCCAGAAGGAGCAGCTCGGGTTGGTGACGTTCTCGGTGGTCAGGTGGCGGAAGGTCATGTGCACCGGCTGCGACAGCTGGATATGGCGGCCCTCGCCCAGCGACGCCGACAGCACCAGGCTGTTGACGATGCGAGTGCGGTTGGCCGCCGGGTAGAGCGCCGCCTCGTGCCGCCGCTCTGACCAGCTGAGCGGCTCCAGCACCGACTCCAGCCCGCTGTAGGCCAGGAACACCACCTTCACGGTGCCGCGCCGGCTGTTCTCCAGCAGCGACGCCTTGCTCAGGTGCATCGAGTTGCCGGCGATGTCCCACTGGTCCAGCGCCACGTCAGACGGGAAGTGCAGGTCGGTCATGCTCTCCACTTTCTTGTTGTGCACGGTCATTACTGCAATGGGAGCACATGCGGTCAGACTCGAGGCGTTACTACGGAGGTCACAGCACGGCAAAAGAGAGTATAGAACTTTTCGATAAGCCCCGGGAAAGAATGCCACTAGAAATGGCTACCCGCAAGCACATCGGTAGATGTATAGGAGCCACAAGGTAACAAAGAATCGGAAATTCTACCGCAACGCTCTAAAGTCCCGTGTCCATCTTTCGGAAGCCCTGCTTCGCGCCCACTACGCCACAGCGGCGCAGGCCCACCGCCGACGGCATCTCACTCGCGCCAGCCACTCACGCAGGTTCCGGTCGATCTCGAGGATGGTGCGGTCGGGCAGTACGTTGTCGCTGAGCAGAAAGGCATTCTGCTCAAGCCCGATGAGCAGCGAGGTGGCGGCGCGGCGCCGCTCCTCCGGCCCCAGGTCCCGCCAGGCCGCCAGCTGGCCGGCGTCCAGCACGTTGCTGGCGGCGCGCACCACGTCCTCGGTGAGCTCGGTGACGATCGCCTCGCGCCGCTCCACGGCCGGCACGGCGATCAGCTGCTGCGCCTGTCGCGACGCCAAGTGGTTCACCAGGCGCGCCGCCGTGCGCACGTCGCCGCCGAACAGGCCGTCGGAGCGGTCGGTGACCTGCGCCAGCTCGGCGGCCACGCGCAGCGTGTGCTCGCCGCTCAGCAAGCGCTCCTCCAGCGCCGCCATCAGGATCGACTTGCACTCGCTGAGGTCGGGCCGCGCGGCCCAGGCGGCGCGCGCCGGCGGGCTGCCGGCCGCCGCCGTCGCCGCCGCCGCGCCGTGCTGACACGGCCAGCGCGCGTAGCCGGTGGCGCCACCTGGGCAGGCGAGCACGGCCACGTCGCCGGCGCGCGTGTAGTTCCAGCGCAGGCCGCGAGAGGTCCGCGCCGGGCAGTAGTGCGGGCTGGCCGCCAGCCAGGGGTCGGGCAGGGTCGGCGCCGGCTGGGCCGCCGCAGGACGCCGCGACGAGCCTGCAACGGAGCGGGGGGCGTGCCGTGAGCGGGTGACCGGACGCCGGCGGCGCATGACCGGACGGCTCGCCGACAGCTGCCGGTCGCCCGTAAAACAAACCCCGCCGCGTTTACGAGGTGTCGGAGCGAGACGGAATCGCTCGGTTTGGCTGCGGGCGGACGAGCGACGGAACGGGCGCGGTTAGTGGTGAGTCACACGGGCAGGTGGCGCTGGCTCACCTGGCGGCCGGCGCGTCGTTGTCCGCGCCGAGCTGGTGCTGACCGGCCGCGGCGTCGTCCTCGGCTTCGCCGTGGCGGCGACGGCGTCGCCGTCAGCGGCAGCGGCGGCGGCAGCGGTAGTGGTGGTGGCGGTGGTGGTCGCCGCGGTGGTGGTGGTGGAGCTCGCCGGCCGGTCGGGCGCGACGACGCCTCGCTGCGCGCCGTCGGCCGGCTGGACGACCGTCACCAGGCGGCCGTCGCCGTCTGACTCGACCTTCTCCACCCTGCCGCCCTGCTGGCGGCGGCCCGTCACGCCCGGGATGATCACCTGCACGCCGTCGTTGGAGGCGGCCGGCGGCAGGCCGGGCAGCCGCGGCCGGCGCGTGGTCGTGGTGGCCGGCGGCCGGCGGGAGGTGGTCGTGCCGCTCGTCAGCCACAGGTTCGGGTCCGGATAAGACGAGTACCACGGCGGGTGCGGCCGCTTCGTCGTCGTCGTGGAGGCGGCTGGAGACGGACGTCGGTTAGTTCGCACGCGGACGACACGGACGGACGGGCAGGCGCTAGGCACGCGGCCACGCGACGTTACAGCGAGCTGGCAAGACTCATCGAAACAGACGTGACCGTTCAGGGGCGCCGTCTCAAGAAACAGACGTTAACGTTCAGAGACGCTGTTTCAAGAAATAGACGTCACCGTTCAGGGACGCCGTCTCAGGAAACAGACGTCACCATTCAGGGACGCTGTCTCCAGAAACAGCCATCGCCATTCAGGGACGCTGTCTCAAGACACGGCCAGACACGGTTCCGGGCGGCGCATAAACACGAGCTGGTTAATTAACGGTCGCGGCGGCTCGACAAACAATCAGCATCTGACATTCAGCGCTTTGAAGAGAGCACGCGAGCTCCGGTCGATATCGCCTGCCCGCCGGCGGCCGCGGGCGGCGTGCACGACAGAGGGCGCCGGACGGGTGCGCTGTGCAGGGTGCATGCTCACAGCTGCGGCGGCCTGCCGTGCAGAGAGCACACCTGACCGCTCGTCGTGCAGTGCAAGCAATTTTCATGCAGAGCAGCAGATAACGGGCTTGACATGTACAGGATTTATAAGAAACTCACACAAAGGTCGGCAATTTTGCGCTAATGTACCATTGTGCATGGCTTTGGGCCGGCCGGGCAAGCCTGTCCAGCAGTTCGTGCAATCACATTAGCCGGCCGCCATGCCGCCGGCCATTACCCGTGGCCGGTACGCGGAATCAATCGAGTGTAAAAATTGTTTATGACGCGGGGATGGGTTTATCGGTCCGCTTTATGGAACAATTACTTGCCGTTTTCTTATCGGGCGACAGTTACAACACCCCCGGCAACAAGTGTGCGACAGCGGGGCCGACAGGCCGGCGGCCGCCGGCTGCTGCACGCTGCCCGGCCTGGCCGCCGGCTGTCGCACGTTACCCCGGCCTGAGTTGAGGCGTGACGTCACGCGGTCCGGGCGTGCCGGCCCGTCCGACGCGGGCACGTGCGCGGCCGCTTTCACGTGCGAGCGTGCACACAAAGCGCCTCCCTCTCTCACTCACCGACTCACTCGCTCACCCACTCGCATGCGGGGACACTGAGGCATGCGCGGGAGCGGAGGCGGGTGGAACGAACTGGCAGGCGAGCTTCGTCAGCATGCGGACCCGGCTACGGAGAGAGCGGGTTACCTCTCTTGCGGCACTGAAACTGGGCCTCCAGGTATTTGAAGGTGGCCGGGCAGGCGTCACCGAAGGTGGCGACGTTGGCCGTGACGGTACAGGCGCGCCGCTTGTCACAGCTGCCGGACAGCCGGCCGCGGTCAGCGGGGTCACGCGCGGTCAAGGTCGGCTCCCGCGGGAGTCCGGGCGACGGCCGCGGGCCGAGCGGCGCCATGGGAAACGAGGAACGGGGACAGGACTCTCGCGCCGGGTCGTTAGACAAGTATGCATTTTTTACGCCAGGCACGCGGGTAGCGCCGTGGAATGCGTGAGCCGGCGACTGCGGCCCGGTTCTTTTCACGATGGCCGGGGGGTGCAGCGGGTCTCTTCGTTCCGGGCCGGTGAGGTGGTCGGGCCAGCCGGCGCTGGGCAGCGTCTGGCCCCGATTCCCGCCTCCCGCGGCTCTAACGACCGCACGCGCCTCGGCCGGCCGCGGCGCCGGCGGCGACGGCGGCGCGCGGGCGGCGGCGGCGGCGGCGCGCGCGCGCCCGCGCCGGAACTGTACCCGTCTTTCGCGCCGCCGGCTGGGGGAGCCTGATTAAATTAGACATTGAAGGGCATTGCGGATGTTGCAGGGTGAATGATGGGGCCAAATTATAGCCTGGCCACGTCCATGAGGCCGGCGGCAATTAGCAATTCCGATTGACGTTGGTCGGGGCGCGATCGGCTTTGTTCGCCGGCGCTCCACGCACGCCGTAAACCCGACGCTGCCGGCCAGACAGAGAGGCCGCTGCCGCACCGGTCAGCCGCTCTCCGGTTTACGACATTTTTGGCGTCGGCGGGATGTCGTGCGGACGGTGACGGCGGTGGAAGGGGGGGGGGACCGGTCCAGGTGAGCGCGGACAGCATGCCGCGGTGGCTCCCGAGGCTGGCCCGTGGGAAGGTCAGGGAAGACGGCCGGGCGGCTGCGAGCTACGCCACTGAAAACTGGGTTAGTTGGTTAGTGACAGGGGACAGAAAACCCGAAGACACCGCCACCACCATGCCGATCCGGCAGAGCAAGCTAAACCAACCTGATACACAGCTGTAGTGGACTTCAATGTACTTAAACGTTCCAGGACACGAGTCTCCGAACTTCTCGGCGGTGACGTCAACAGAACACTTATTGCCAACTCCGCAACTGAAAATCAACCGAAACAAAGTCAACAAAACACATCAAACTCGCTGAAAACAAAGAAAAGGGCAGTCTGGGGAAACACAGCTGTGCGATCAGTGCCACATAAGACGGCGGAAGCGCCCGACTTCCGGACACTGGGCGGCGAGGGCGCGAGAGCGGCGGGTGTCCGATACTTCCGCCCTCCGCTGCAGGACCGTCTGATCTCCTCGACCCACCACCCTCAGCAGCCCCTATCCCAGCGGCTGCCAGACCGCATGAATCCGTCACCAGCCACCACGCCGGCACAGCACATCTGAGCCCGCTACACTCCGCCCCGGGACCAGGCGCGCTCCTACAGCGGCGCCCCCCTAACTCGTGACCGTGCCCCACATCGTGGCGCGGCCCGCCGGGCCCTGTGACAGTACCGCGCCGGGCGGCAGGCCGTAAAGCGCTATAATTTACGGCGCACTCTCCGGTGCGGCTAATAGATTAGGTGCGGCGCGATCCGACCCAGCGCTGCCGTCACGGCGACGGCGCTGCACGGAGGCCGCGCCGCTCAGCTGTGACGCGACCGTCCTTCCGCGGGGACGCCGGCCGACGGCGTCGCGCCGCCGTCGTCCGTCGCGTCGGCGTCGACGGCCGTCACGGTCCGCTGGACGGCGGCCGCCGACCGACGGCTCCTGTGAGGCCCATGCGCCGCACATTGAAGAGCGCCGCCGCCGTCGGCCAGGGCATGTCCGACAAAGGTCGCGTGGACATTACACGCCGGCGGCGTGCATCATTTAATATCGCGCCTGCCGCACGGTCTATGATCCCTTTGGCAAATCCAAGGCGACCTACGACACAGACGCCGTGCATCGGGCTAATGATGTGCGGCGTTCTGTGGAGCGGGCGCTGTGCCTCGTGTGTCGCCATGCGGCGGGACTGGCGCGGCCCCTGACACCGGCTGGAATGCATACAAGCACCTGCGCATAACTCCAAGGAGCCCGCGCTCGGGCGGAACAGAATTCGGAATCAGAAGCGGCCCGGCCAGAGACGCTGGGCGCCGGCAGCCGCGGCGCCGGCAGCCGCGGCGACGGCGGCGGTGGCGGCGGCAGCGGGACCGGTTCCCGCCGCCGGATCGGTGGCTTTCCTCGCGGTCTGATCGGGCCGATCACTGTGCACGGCTCGCCGCGGGAGAGGCCGCGCCAGCCCCACCGGATGGCCGGCGCTGGCTGGCGCGGCGGGTCCGCCTGACACCGCTAAACGGCGGTAGCCAGCGAACGGCTGGAGGGCACCGACGGGGAAGGAAATAGCGTCCCGAAGGAAAACAGCTGCGAGTTCTGTTGCAAATGGCTGAGTAACATAGGCTACGACATAAAACAATACATGCATGAAATGTGAAATATACTCATGCTTCCCCGACTATCAGATTTGGCCTTACTTAAGGATAATGAAGATAAGATGGCTGACAGAAAATCGCAACACCGACACGCAACAAAACACGGCGCGCCGAAATCAAAGCAACGACTACCCGTCTCTTGTGAGCTGTCTACTGCCCGCAGCCTGGCCGCCAGCCAAGCCAGCCGCAGAGGACCGGAGAGCGGAGCTGACCGCCGGCCATGACGCTGAGGCGCACCAGGGCCGTCAGCTGGGAGGGCCACCAACGCAGCCGGGCCGCCCGTGACCGTGTCCAGCCGCCCCTGTTGCACAATGTCACAGATTGCGCGTGAAATCGATCACCGTCGGCCCGTGCAGGCGCCGGCGCCATCCGGTCCGATCTGGTCCGGTCCGGTCGCCGCCGCTCCTGATGGGCACCTGGCGCACCCGCCGGAAACACGCGCACGGCCGCCGTGCCCACCCGGGCCGCCGCCGCCGCCACCGCCGGCGGCGGCGTCAGCACGTGATCTGACAGCAGGGGACAGCTCGCGCGCAAAAAACGGCGCGGGCAGAGCGCACCGCGGCAGCGCTGTCGGCTGCAATCAGCCAGCGACTGTCCCAGCAGCCAATTAGGCTGGCCCCGTGCACGCCCGGCTGGCGGTTTTTTTCGGCCGCATGCTAAATGTCGGTGTCGATCGATGTGTGCGTGGGAGGGGGGAGGGGGGAGGGGGGGCGCACCAGCGCCCCACGCGCCGCGGTGCCCGCCGGCGCCGGCCCACGCCGTCAAAGTGGGCCGGCGCATGCGAGCCGCGCGTAAAGTCACCCATTAAACAGCGCCATTGTCTCCGGTCGACAGTTGTTTGCTCAGGCGGCTCGCCGGCGGCGCTTAGCCGGCTTCGACGCTCCGTCGCGGCCGACGCGGCGACAATCGGGCCCGCCGGCGCCGACGCGCCGAGCAAAAACCGCCGCAGCAGGGCGGCGGCCGACGTTAGCCGCCGTTACACGCCGCAGCGAGCGGGCGTCAGCCGGAGGCGAGCGCTGTCGGGCGAACGCGGCGGCGCGCCGACATCGGACCGACGTCCGTCGACGTCGTAAACAGGTCGTCACGCCGCCCGAGCCGACGCGACGTTCACAGAACGGCCACGTCCGCCAATCCGCGGCACGGTCACAGGCGCCGCGGCGTGACGTCACAGGCGGCATGCGGAAGCGTCGTCGCCCCGGTGAAGGAGACAATACGGCGCGCGGCCGGCGGCCGTGCGTCAATTAAAGTCGGCACGCAATCAGCTGTTGGCGCGGCTTGCAGACGCGCCGCCCCGCGCGGCGAACGGCGCAGCCGCACCGCGATGAAGACGTTAGGCGTCCCCGGCGGCCGATTCTCGCGCCGCATCTGGAGCTCGCCTGTCGGGCGCCGATAACGACCCCGCCTGTACATGAATATTAAATGCGGCACGAATTCCGGTCGCTGCAGAGCGCCGGTTGAAGATGGCAGCACCGCCGCGGGCGCCAGCAGCCCGGCCCATGGAAGGCGGTCGGGACCTCAGCGTCGAGCCGATCCCTGCATCATATCGAGGGCGACGAAAGTCGATGATTAACGTGCCGGTTCTGCTGCCGACACGGATCGTAGGAGGGAGGCGGGGTAGGGGGCGGGGGAGGGGTCTCGCGTGACGCTCCGACCAGCGCTGGCGGCGGCCGACCTGCTGCTCGGGTGCCGGTCAGGACCCCGCCCCTCCCCCCACTCCCTGCCCCTCCCCACCCCTCCAACGCTCGTGGATACGGCCACTTGGCCCCGTCCGAAATGACAGCGAATCAAGCTTTCAACAGTTCGCCGTTCCACAGCGCCAAATGAAACAACAGTGCGCATGCAATGGGGTCATAGCCGTGTTAATCGGTGCCATGTGGCTGTCATCAGGGCCTGGGGGCCCTCCCACCGGAGCTGGCGGAGGTGCTGCCCCGCTGTCGAACGGCACGCTTTATAGCGCCAGATTGGCACCCTGGGGCACAGCGGAATTGATTAAGTCCGTGCGGCAATGACGTTTTTGATAAATATATACGTCGGCGCTCGTTTGGCCGGCGACACGGTGTCGCGCCGCGGTCCCCCTCCCCCTCCCCCCACGACCTCGTCGGCGCCATCTTAATTTTCCGGCTGCTTGTCTCCATATGTCACTGGCGGGACAAAGGTGGTCGCCGAGGAGCCCGACCGTAACTCAGCTAAGCTCGCGTCCGTCACCCTGTTATTATGTAAAATTATCCCGCGACGACCGTGGCGCGCCGCGCTAATTGCTGTTTTCTTCTGGTGGCTCGCGTGAAGCGGGCTTGCCGAAATATCGTCCCATGCACGGCTAATTCCACGCGCGAAGATGCTAATTAAGATATTTTTCACAGGTGTTCGCGGCAAAAACCATGCGCTCGTTGAGCGTGCACCGCTGGTATAACACGCTGATCCCGTGCACACGAGTGGCGCGGGAACAGGAACACCGCGTGGCGCCAAAGCCGCCGGCGGTCCGCGGGTCGTGTGCGCTGCGAAGGCGCCGAACACAATGGCATCGTGCAGGCGTTGTGCCTGCAGAGGCTCGCTCAGCTGAGCAGGCCTGCATGTCATCCGCCGAGCGGAGAGAACCGCCGTGGCGAGGCGCGTTAATAGTTGTGGGAGGGGAAGAAGGGGAGGGGGGGGGGGAGCATGAGGAGTCTGATGTACAGTAGCATTGTGAGTTAAGTCCAGAAAACCAGCCCGTGGACCTGTTGACGAAACTAACCACTGTTATGAGATCCAAAAAAGCCTTTTTCTGAAGATTCAAATAGATCTCAAGCCTATTTGAAATGGATCCCAAAGCTCAGGACGTCCTCAGGCGAAGTTTTCAAGGCACTGCATTCCTCGTTATAACTCTTAAGAAACGCGTAAAACGCGCAGTCCTAAGAAACCCAACCACAATTTTTATATGCGTATATATGTATGTTCTAGGTGGCTACGATCAAATGTGTTCTGAATCATGGAAACAAGCTCTTTGACCGATCAGAAACCTTCTCCCAATGCAAAAACATTTACAACCAGCCGCAAGTCCGGCAGCAATACATGCCAGGCGAGGCAGATCGCAAAACCTTCTCGGTGAAATTGAAGATCAAAGAAACTTAAGACGGGATGCATAGGCAGTCACTGGACAGAACCCCGTGGAGGCTTGTGCGGTTGGTCAGCCAAAAATTATTCACCAAAATAGATTCCCAAACGTCCCATGCCGTTATTTTAACACGTACCTTCGAGCACAAGGGCTCTTAATAAATTAATTAAATAGTCTTGGCTCCTAGGGGATCATTTGCAAACACATGAAAAAAAGCTTCATGGTGAAAAACCCTCTGACCAAAATCTACAAGATGTAAAACAAAAATTACGAACCACAAAAGCTGGAATTTCTTAATGCAACATGGATATCTAACCGCGCAAGGTTGGATATCCATGACTGAATGTCTAAATCCTGGCATCCACTCCTGCGGCGCGCGCACACGCCTGCTGCCTACATCACGGATCATAGCGCCGGCCGGTTCAGATGGGGCCGCCGCCGGCCGCCGGCGCAGTCATGACCAGGCGAGGTCAGCCCCGCCCGGGGCCGGCGCGCGCGCGTGCCGCGCCCGTCTGCCATGCCGCGCGCCGTCTCACGCACGCGCGTGAACCAAACAATCGGCCGTCCGGTCCCACCGTGGCGCCCGGCTGGGACTCGGTCTTAATTACAGAGCAGACGGCGGGCGGGCCGGTCGGCCGTTTTTGCGCCGCCAGCTCGCTCTATTCAGATCAGGCTCGGTGGTCGGCATTCCTGGGGCCGGGTCAGATGGATAGCCGCCGGCGAACAATGCCGCCCCCCGCGTCGGGAGAGCGGCGGGGGGGGGGAGGGGCTGCGCCAGCCGCGCCTCGGAACCCGAGCCGCGCACTTTCTAAACATCACCGCGCGCTGCAGTCGGCTAATAGATCACCGCGGTCCATACATCGGCTGTTATTAGTTACGAAATTTCACCACGACCAGTTAATTATTTCGGCGACCTGGCCTGACCCGAGGCGAGGTGCGATCCCCGTGAATGATTCTTCATTAGAAAGCTATTATTGCAGTGTGTGCGCGACTGAATGGAGCCCGCCTGACGCCGTTATTGATAGGGTTTCAACACACGGGCCGGTCGCGCCGGCCGCGGATCGGTGTTGGTACATGTCGCTGGTGGCCGGCCCCATGGCGCCCCCCGCCCACGTATCGGCGGGCATCGCGGCGGCGAGGGATGAACGACGCTGATTTATTGAAATAATAACAGAAGTTACTTGCAGAGCCTATCCCATAATTGTATTCATGTAATGGAGGATGCACATCCGTGCACGAAATATCCTGCATGTGGCGGAGGCTGGGTCTAATTGTTACACGAGCAGGCCGTTGCAGGTGTCGGTATCCCAATAATCTGGTGCCCGGGCGCGGCAGGAGCGTGACTGTGCTTCACGCAATCATCTTAATGAGTGTCCTATCCCTGTCGGAGACCAGTACCGGGGCTGCTCTAGTTCCATCCCAGCCCCGTGTCAACTGCACATAGTCGCTCACATCTGCACAGCCCTGCTCACAGGCGACCCTTCCCATCATCCCGCCAGTGCGTGACATCTCGCGCTCTCTCGCGTCCGCGGCCGAGCCAGGTGACACTGTTCTCCGGCCGGCGCATGAGGTCGTGGTCGGCATTGTTCCTCCGCGACATTACGATACAGCGCGGCGAAAGCGTCTGGGGCGGGCAGGTCAGCATTGTTCAGCTGAACACTGGGGGGAGCCGCCATTGTTGTCAGCCGTGTCGCGAGCGCGGTGAGCGCTTCCTTGCTCTGTCGCCGTGTCACAGTGTCACTGTTTCTTGCACGTGTCGCCGCATACCGGATCTTGGTGTTGCCATGCCACCTTATGCTTACCAAACTTGATACACATTTTGTGAAGTACCTCATATTTGCCCGTTGCGTACCTACTTCCCAGCTCAGCCGAGCTTATCACCTATCACCTGTCCCACCTGCTCGCGTAAACTCGTCCCACATAGCACAATGACCTGAACCGAGTCCACCAACAGCCAGCGGCGGGAGGCATCGTAGCTTACCTCTGCTCCAGCACGCGCAGGGAGCGCGGCGACATGCAGTTGACGCTCCAGTCGGTGTTGCCCTTCTCGTTGCAGATGGTGATGGAGAAGCGGCCGAAGTTGGCTCGGATCAGGTTGATGAGCTCGTCGTCGCCACACTCCAGCTTCAGCGTCGAGCCCTCGCAGGCGTACACCGTGCTGTAGCCGGCTGCAACGGGCGCACAGAGGCGGGTCAAGCGCGCGGACAGGTTAGGCGTCCAGGCGTGACACAGCCCAGGCGGGTCAGGCGCGTGGACAGGCCAGGCACTCAGGCGTGTCACAGCCTTGGCGGGTCAGGCGCACGGACAGGTCATGGCCCAGGCGTGTCACAGTCCAGGCGGGTCAGGCACATTCCGTCACGCGCAAAAGTACGTTGAACGCTGCGCCTAAAGCCTCCCCCACCATAACCCCTCCATCGGTACCGATGCGGCCGGCGGTGACGGTGGCGGAGACGGCGGCGGCGGAGGCGTCACAGGGCGCCCGCGGGACCCGTCCGCTGGATTAGGGACGACGCCGGCGTGCGCCGTTCGACGCGACCGATGAAAAATTGAGCGCGATTGAGATATCGCTCGGTTGGCCGCCTCCGCCGAACGCCGATGCTATCGCGTCATTAGCATTCTCGCCGAAAATAGAGCTAATTAATAGACCCACCACCTGCTTTAACAAGCTATCGCAGCCAGAGTATTCCGGATCGGTCCCCATTTCCCAGGTTGAGCGATCTGGCGGCGTCATTCCATCACGAGTGGCAGACTCGGAGGGATCCTCGGCTTCCGGCGAGCAGGGACACGTGCACGGTTCGCGGGCGGCCGGGTCAGAAGCTGCTGGCGCCAGCTGACCCCTGAGTTGGTTCACCGGGATGATCGGCACGACCCGGGCGATTTTACGACTTTTATACGAGCGCCTCCTTAATGGAGGCGTCTCTGTTGAAATCATTAAACCGGCAACGCAAGCCGCCTATCCTTTACCTGATTGGGATCGCGCCTGGAAAACAAGGTCCTCGCTAAAAGCGGGCGGAAAAAGCCGGCCATAAAGTGATTTGCACCTTGGCAGTTAATTCAAGCCGCTGTCCCTCATTCTCCGAGACAAAAGAAGGCCTTGGTGGCGACCGCGCCGAAAGGTGGCGCGGACGTGGCGGAACAGTGCCGGACGCAGCGCGACTGCCACTGTTGGATTAATCGCGTCTTCCGACACATCGCGCCAAACAATGCCAACAGCGGGCCGGCTGGTAAATTGGTCGGCCCTCCTCCTGGTATTGTCTTGGCCGACGCGGCTGGACGGACGGGTTTGGCACGGCCGCCGATCAAGGGCGGCGACGTCCGCGGCGTTGGAATGCCAGTCGTCAGCCTCTCCCGCCGTGCGCAATGTTCAGCTCCAATACAATACAGCTCCGGGTACAATATTCCCCATATTTTTTCGGGACGCGGTAGGTTTGATCCTCCGACTGGCACCAGTGGGAGCCGGCCCCGGCCCCGCGTGCCTGGCTGCGCCCGTGCGTCGATCAAACGCCGCCGCCACGCCGGTGGCCGCCGCTGCCGACCGGGCGACGGCGCGGGGTTTAGCCCACATTAGAGTCGAGCGCGGAGGCGCTCTCTGGGCACCGCGCCGCTGTAATGGTGAGTAAACAGCCGGAGGCGTCGGCGCACGGCCCGAGCCGGAGCAGCGCTGCCTGCCGGGGCCGGAGCAGCGCTGCCTACTGGGGCCGGAGCAGCGCTGTCTCTGGGGCCGGAGCAGCGCTGCCTACTGGGCCTGGAGCAGCGCTGCCTACTGGGGCCGGAGCAGCGCTGTCTCTGGGGCCGGAGCAGCGCTGACTACTGGGGCCGGAGCAGCGCTGCCTACTGGGCCCGGAGCAAAGCTGCCTGCTTGGGCCGGAGCAGCGCTGCCTCTGGGGCCGGAGCAGCGCTGTCTCTGGGGCCGGAGCAGCGCTGTCTCTGGGGCCGGAGCAGCGCTGTCTCTGGGGCCGGAGCAGCGCTGACTACTGGGTCCGGAGCAGCGCTGCCTGCTTGGGTCGGGGCGGCGCTGCCTGCTTGGGCCGGAGCAGCGCTGCCTGCTGAGCCCGGTTCTCGGCGCCCTCAGCTGTTCCGTGCCGACGCATCGCTTATCAAAACCGTCCAATTCGTATTAAATGAGGAGAAATATGCATCAACCGCTTTGTTCCTCTCCTCCCTGCAGCTCGACTAATTTATGGCTCCTTTAAAATGATACAGGATCAGCTTATAAAGAGTAATTTACCATGATTTATCCATGAGAAACGGGCCTAATTAACAGTCTATGAGACCTACAGCAGGTAGTGCGGCTGGCCGCCCCCAAACACCTTTTATTACGGCCGCTGTCGGCCGAATATCAAGCGTCCGATTTTGATTTAATTTCCGCACCGGGGCTGCCGGTGGGTGCCGGCCGTTATACCGTCCCTCTCAACGGGTGCCGGGCAGGGGAGGAGTCCACCTGAGGTCGGCAGGAGGCGGGCATGGCCACGGCATGGACAAAGAACGGCGCACGAAGCTGTTCATCGCTGGCGCGGCGGAGCACTCGACTTCCCTTTCATCCTTTGGCTGCGATTGAAAGACACGCTGCGCGAAAGGCTCGCAAACAAGCGGCGGCTTACCACACACATTTTGACGGGACAAAATTAGCCGGCCGGATGCACACAGCACAGCGAGAAAGTACAAACGGACGTGAACAAACACCCGCGTGAGGAACGCAGACAGATCGGTGCGCACACAAGGAAGCGGAGACACCGGGGAGCGGGCCGACTGTCGCTGAGGCTGGCCCCCCAGCAGCCTCGGCGGCCGGCTCGCCGCTCAACCGGCATTGTCCGGCCGGCCTAAGTGCGCTAACGCCGCCTGCGTTTGGGGAAACTCTGTCAGATTTTGATGGATGAACGGTGGTTGTCGGGGGCGATAACGCGGGTCTGGCGGCCGGACTCGAGCGGCGCCTCCGGTCCCGGGCGGCAGATTCGTCCCGACCTGGGGAGGGAGGATCCACCGGCCCGCCTCCGGCCGCCCTCCGCTGCCGGTCCCCAGTCCGGACCGGGATCACCACCGATCACCAGGAGACGGCGCAGGACCACCGGAATCATCCGCTCATCAGACGACAAGCAAACAATTAAACGCGTCTGGGGCGCGGACGGACCAGCGGGCCCGTGGAGCGATGGCGGTCCATTAGGCCCGCGGCCGGCCTCCTTAAACACCCGTCAGAGGGCTGTCGCGCGTCCCCGCTGACAAGAAACGGGTGGGCCGGCCGTGATAGATGGCCCGTGTCGGCCGTCATCGTCTGTGCGCGTAGGCAGCGCTGTGCCATTTTCATTATCTGTCGGTGCGCCTCCGGCCGTGACGGTCGTGCCGATCTGGCCGTCAGGGGGGGGGGGGCGTCAGGGGGCGGGGGCCGCTACCAACACCGGACCTCCCGTGTCGCGGTCCGGCGACTCGGTCCAGCCGCGCGCCGCGGGGAGCCCGGCTCCGCCCCGCCAACTGACGGCCCACAAAAAAGGTCGTCTTCGGCGGTCGTCCGCGGCGCCCGGTGAGAAGCTGCGGTGGGTGCGGACCAGCGGTCCCAGACTGCGACCGCTGGAGGACCAGCGGCGCCAGTGAGTGGGAGGGAAGGTGTCACCCGACCAGCACACCAGCGCACGGCGGCTGACGGCCGACAGAAGCCCAGCCAGCTGTGGCTGACCGGCGGCGACCAGTTTTTCATTCAAGCGGTGCCTCGCGGTCCAGCTTCGAGCGAGCGCGCCTAACGATCCCGGCTTCCAGCCGCTGTTTATTCTCTGCGGTCGTCGGCCGTGTCTCCGGAGTGCTCTGCTGGGGACAGCGAGCGCCCCCCGTCGCGCTCCGGCGGGGAATCTAAGCGGGCAGCGCACCGGGAGCGGGAAGTTGGGACAAAAGTCCGGGGTTCAGCTTCGCCCGGCGCCGCGCGCTGTCAACAGCGCCAAGATTTGCGGCTGAAATTAAATCGCTGTAATCTTCTTTTGCTGGGCTCGATTCAGATTCGGCAGCAATTTGTTGGAGTCGAGGAAGAAAATGAGTTGCAGACAAGTAAGTTTCAAAGAAAACGACAGGGCGAAAAATTACACCGGGCCGTGGACCATTTGGGAGAAGATATTCGAAAGAAAAGGAGGCGCTGATTAAAAAGCTGCGCTCCGTTGAGCGCCACCTGTTCTGAATATCAAAATGACAACCCGCGACAACTCAGCGTTTTCAGCAATGAGTCGGCCATTCGCTTAGGTCGGCATGGCTTCTGTCGCACCGCCGTGTGAGTCAGTTTTTAACTGCCGCTGGCCGGCCGAACCCGACTGCATTCTTTAAGCGGAGGAAGCGCCTCGGCTTTAGGGGATCCAGGGGCGGGGCTCCGCGCGCCTTTCCAGGTCAGGCTTTTATTGATGGAGAGCTCGGACAAAAACTCGATCCCGGACCGCGAGCGGCGCGGCGTAAGACCGCAGCGGGATATAACCGCAGCACCGGAAGAGCTGTCGATTCAGCCGCAGCCGTGCCGTTTCCAAGCCGGACGGCGATGGCCGCGCTCAGAAAAAAAACGCCCCGTTGTCCCGACCCGGTTCGTAATCGGGAGGCTACGCCGAGAAGCCGGCAGCATCCGTGTCTTCTCGGCTATATCTGTGTTAGGGGGACAGGAGGGCACGATCGAACGCACGGACCCGCGCTTAAAAAGATATCAACCGCACGGCCCAAGTACGGCGACGTAAACATGTCAGTTGCAGCTGTAAGAACCAGGCCGATATTTGATTGCAATCGTAAAGTCGGCATTCGCCAGTAAAACTTGATTTACAAATTGGTTTTTGTACCGATCATATGCATACGATTGGGTCGGTCGGAAGGCTGCCCGAGGGAGCGCCGACGCCATTAGGGCGGAAGGGGCACGGCGTCACTGATCGAGTCCGGCCACTCGACGGCTGTAATTGTGATGGAGTGCGCTCACTGTCGGGGGACCGAGCCGGTCAGAGCCTGGTCCCGGCGCGCCACCATGACCGATGGCAGCGCGGGGCCGCTGCCCATCAGCGCCGTCGTCGCCGACGGGGCGCCCCGGCGCCGCAGCGTCGTTGCAGCGCTACGCTCGCCCTCGCTGCCGGGCGCCGAGCGGCCTCGCCGGCGCCAGCGGAGGGCGCGACCGTAGCCACCCTCGCCAGCCGCAGATACGCTGGCGCCGCGAGCGCGTCCG